ATTCGATACATGAAGGAATATATTGCTCTGAAACAGGAGAGGAAATTCATTTAATTTCTATTTATTTCTCTTTTCAAATTTACAACAGTGTTTGTTAAAGCCGTAACTATTAATATGAAAGGCAGGAATACGTTTTTTAGACAAAATAATATTATTTTACAGATATAAACACTAGGTTCTACTAAATGTGTATATCTATTTGTTATTCTGATCTTGTATTTATAAAGAGTATGTTGTAAACTTTTTTAAAAATCACCATAGTGTAAGAAACAGAATTTTTTTGGAATGTAAGATTTTAAACTGAGTTAGTTTTAAATTAGATAATAGCCTCTATTACCAAGGAGAAATTACAACACTGATTAATATAAATATATTTAAGATTAATTCAACTGGGTTGTGTATTCGTTTCCTTTAATAAGACCCTCTTTGTTGTGGTATCTGGTATTTAAAAGATAATACAAAATAATGTATAAACACCATAAGATTATTTCATTGTTGCATGTTTTATCATGAGGCTTGTAAAACACCTGGGTAAGACTCTTGGGAAAATCATATACATAATCTGCTCCAGAACTTGTAATAAACCTTTCTTCTGCAACCCGCCATTCAACATAGCTTGAACTATGAGTGCTTCTTTCAATCATTTCCTTGTGAGCTTGCTGTTTCATTTGCCATAATCTAGGTTCAGAAAAAATAACATGAAATCAAAGACCTTCTTAGTATTTTAGAGACTTATCAGCAGTTTGATCTGTTTTAAAACAATGTGGTGTGTGTGTGTGTGTGTGTGTGTGTGTGTGTGTGTGTGTGTGTGTGTGTGTGTGTGTGTGTGTGTGTGTGTGTGTGTGTGTGTGTGTGTGTGTGTGTGCACGCCTGCACGCGCTTTTTCATTCAAAAGAAATAACATAAATCAGATTTTTTCTCTTTCATGAAAATGCAGGCAGAAAAAAACTACTCAATGAGAAATAGCATTAGGGTAATAATAAGGCATAAAGGCTCGGAGGAAAATAGTTGGTCATTGTATTTTATGTTAAACAAATGAACCAAATTCTGCAGTGTCATTACCAGCTCTGTAAACCATGTACAGTACATAAATCAGAAATGATATATGGCAGATTTTTTTCTCATTTGTATATGAAAATGTAGCAATTACCATAGGTCTATTTCACAACATAGTGTTTACTGAACTTCACATGACCTTAAAGAATTCAAACTGATAATCTATGTGTCTGGCAAAGTACTATATTCACCAGTGTAGTACAAGCTTATATAGCATATCTGTGTTATTTACATGCAAGTTGATGTAGTGTATAATAAATGTTTCATGTTGCATATTTGCAATGAAAATATACCAAAAGTTTATAACATCAAAAACCTATGACATTTTCCTTGCAAAGGAAAAGTCACCTAAATTAGGACTATTAACTCTTCTCTAAATAAGGACAATGCACTGTTCTCTGAAGATACATCTCTATATTAGACATTTCCATCATTCTCTATTTTACTTTGGAAATACATAATACAGCAACAGTATTAACTTCAGAGCACCAGCCTGTGTGAGACCCCAACTGTTTTAACCTTTCAAGTAAGGCAGAGTCATGCAGGTGAATATCTTCTTAGCACTGTGTTGCATACCGGTGCACACAGCCCTATGATTCACTTATGGAATTCTTATAGACTATATTCAGTGTACTCAGAGAAAAGCAAATTAGAATTAAATTATCAATTCAGATAGAGGTAATATTTTGACAAGAGATGTCATTGAAAAATAACATCATCAGCTGGTACTTCCAAGGCAGAGGGGCAAGAATATGTAGCAATTTACTGAGCTGATTGACTCAGTGAGAATAGCAACCTTAATGATGAGACATTTATTGAGAAAAAACACCAAAAAACCTGACACAAAATAAGATTAATAAAATCTATCTTCCATATATAACCTTATATATGAATAAATCCTTTTCTGTAAAAACAATGAGAAACATAATAAGATATCAGTGATAGTGATAATTTAAACTACTGATTGATGGCTGCCACTGTACAAGCTACTGATGCAGCCACAGCCAAAAACTGTTATTACAAATAAAAAACAATTCATCTGCACTTGGCAATTTTAAGCTTTCTGTAAAACCCTATAATAACTTATTCTTGAAATATCAAATATAATGGATTTAAAAGTAATACACATTTTTGGGAAATAATTCCACTATCGAAAATCATACCCAACTAAGTTAAAGTCACGTACAAAGTTTCAAGTCACTTCTGGTAGTCTCCTCAAGAGAATTACGCCCAACTGTTTAGCATATTGCCCTCTACCATGATAAATGCATATCATTTAATTCAACCAATAACACAGACACCACACAAGTAAGCAAAGCTACAGGATTTTTAGGTGCATGGTTGTAGTTTATAATCAGTCTATTCAACTGGTAAATAATTCTTGATACTAAAGACCCCTTAATAGACCACCATGACTCATAAGTGCTGAACATAGCTTATATAA